AAAATATACATACAGCAAATGTGATTGCAAACTTGTGTTATATTATTTGTTATGTATTGTTGCCCCTTGAATACATTCACATCATCTCTAACATCCAACGAGTCACTGAATTACATCAAATCCCTGAAGAAATGTAAGGCTTGAAAAACAAAATGATTTGTGCAGTTTTATAAAATCAAACTGTGAGTGTGTGTGTGTGTGTGTGCGTGTGTGTGTGTGTGCGTGTGTTTAAATTTCAGTTGCCTAAAGTTATATGTACTTCCAGCCAGGAACAACTGTAAGCTAACTCCATGTGTAAGACATGTAGAAGGGCAAATCTAATAAATGTTACATCATAATATTCTGATTCAAGTATTAAACCCTATTCAAATATTCGCTTGCCAATATAATAATCCCAACTTTGCAGCTCTGTGAAGCTTGCATTGTCTTTAAGCCAGTTATTTTGGTTCTTCTACTGCACATACGTCTGCAGAGTTTGCCATGTGGACAGAAACATTACTGAGATAGCATGAAAATGTTACTGTGGTAACTCTTACAGTAATAAACCACAACACTAATAGTTCGGGCTCTTTTGCTCGCTACTGGTCCAGAAATTGAAATTCTCATACTGTAATAGATGTAGTACTGAAAATAGTCTAGAATTGATTTGAAACTTCATTTGTACAATCCCACATGTACAAAACTGCAGTTAAAGGTTAAAGGTGTGCGTGTGTGTCTGTGCAAGTCCTGTGAATTTAAAAAAAATATATTTTATTGTAGTTTTAGTGAGATAAGTAAAATCTGCCGTGGAGAGATGTTTGTCGAGGTCTTCTGCCCCGAGAAGTCTTAGCAGAGTGAGTCCTCTCGCTCCTCCTGGAGGGCATAATTTATCTCGTCCATCTCACGTTCACAATCTTCACATCCTTCGGTGCCGCAGCCTTCCACCACAACCACACCATGAGGGTCTGCCAGCTTCCCCCCTCCTACTCCACCTGCTCCCATTCCTCCCCCTGCTCCACCTCCCATCCCTCCCATTCCAATACCATTTCCCCCAGCACCTGCCATAGATGGCATTCCTCCCAGTCCCATCCCAACGCCAAGATTACCCATGCCTCCAACTCCAATTCCTCCTCCACCAACGAGCAGTGCTCCCCCAGCGCCACATGCCAGAGGTCCAACAGCTGGTCCCACTCCTCTGGGCCACATTGGGTCCATTAGAGCCCCCTGTTGTCCAAGCTGCATCAGCTGACTGACGGAGTAAATCCCTCCCGGCCCAGCTCGAACAACCTCCTCATAGGAGGGGGCACTGGTGGTATTTCGGGCCTCCTCCAGCCTTACCCGAGCCCGGTGCTTCATCTCAATGATGGTCTTGGTGTAGGAGTTCAATGTGGCCACAGCAGCTGCCATGCAGCAGCTGAATGAAAGCCATGCCATGCTGGAGAGGGGGAAAGATTGAATCTTTCTAGTATGATGACCAGCCAATACAAAAGGTTGTGTAAAGATTCGATCAGATCAGAAAGTGGTACAGTGAAGTTCTTTAAAGTGCCATATGACTACTGAAGCTTGGAGAGACAGCATCTATAACTGTGGTCAGTTAGTTTACATCCACTCACCACGAGCAAGAATGTCATGGCAATTTGGGGCTTTTAATTGTTTCTTTGAAGGGTTCTTTTCCCAAAGTGGAATGACAATAAACCATACATTTTAATGATTTAAAAAAACAAGAACTGGATGCACAAGTTTGAATGTATTTGAAATTTTCTCTAATCCACACATGGTCAGGAGTATCAATGAAGGCTCAAACATATACGTACACTCACTTCAAATAAGGCCTATTAAGTTCAAGAACAGCCTGGGAACCACAAAGGCTCAAGCCTCCCATGAACTGGAAACCAGTTTTACATTGCCATGGACTGAGAGTACAGACCAAGAAAGATGTCCCAGGTCCCAAACCGACACCTTCAAGCTAAACTGAAATTTTCAACTGCCCACATGGAAAAGCCAAATTCCTCCTGGAGAAAGATCCATGGTCAGATGAGACAAAGATTGAGCTACAATGATAGTAGGAATTGTTTGGAGGAGTAAAGGTGAGGCTTTCAAACCTCAGACAACTATACAAACTGTTAAGCATAGTGGTAGAAGCATCATGCTGTTTCCTCTCAGTGGTACTGATACATTTCACAAAGTGGATAATAAAAATGGAGGAATATGTTCAAATTATTCAACTTTACCTCAAACCAACAGCTAGATGTTTGCACCTTAGATGCAAATGGGCATTTCAACAGAACAATGATCAAAAACACACATCAACACTGGTTTTGAAATGGACAAAGCAACTAGCATTATGCACCTAGAATGGCCTACCTAAAGCCCTGACCTCAACCATGTTGAAAATCCAACAAATCAGCCAATGAGATTGGTCAAATATCTAGAATAGCTAGAATTATGCCAGACGCTTGTTGATGACTACCAAAAGTGTCTGGTAAGGGACATTTAACCAGATATTTGTGGCGGTATATGTATCTTTTTTGCTTCTGACCCCGTGTGGATCACAGAAAATTCCAGATAAATTAAAAACTCGTGCTCTCAATTATTGTTTTTTAAAGTCATTAAAGATGTGTTCTGTGCAATCATTTGACCCTAGAAAAAGAAATATAAAAATAATTAAAAGCCACCATGTCAATCATTCATGTGAACTCCTGACCACAGCTATAGGTAATTGAGACCATGTTAGTGTTTGTCACAGCCACTCTCAAAACAGCTTTCTGTATAGCTTGCTAACCAGATAATGTTTACACACCTTGCAGATATAAAATATTTTGACAATATTGGGTGATAATCAAACTCTGTGGGATATTTCATCTAATCTGAGGATTGTTGGGGAATATTTTACTTTAATACAGAATAATTACTTTGGTTTAATTGAAACTTACGCAAAAGACCAGCCGTAGTCCCAGCTCTGTGGCCTCCAGTCTTTAGGTCCGATGCTAACAGTCATCTGAAACACGGTTGTGTACATCATGTGAGCTACCATCCCCATCATGCCTGGGAGAGGACAGAAACATGGAGATACGGTTACCTTTGCTGCAACCTGAAAAAATATGGTTAAAAAATAAAAAAGTAAGATAAAATAATTCAAATTTTGGAGGTTATTATTGTAGGAATGACTGAAACATGGCAGTCCTGCCATCCATCCATCCATCCATCCTAGCTCTACTCTGAGCCCCTCCTGAATTACTGAGGTCCTCACCCACACACCATCTGAAGGAAAGTAATTTCCACCATTTGTATCCAACCCTTTTCCTCTTGAGGTTTTTAGATCAAGCAAGCAAGCAAGTGCCCACAGCCTTTTAGGACTCAGAAAATGCTCTTTGTTCTCACCTGAGAGGACAGTGCACATGGCTGCAAAGGCATTGATCTTGAGGGCGTTCATTTCCCTCTTGGCGCAGAGGCACAGTGCTTCCACACACATCAGTAAGAAGCCCATAGCCAGGAGACCGATGTACATGAACTCACTGATGACAGACAGCCAGAGCACACCTGGAAGCATTTAAGGATATAGAGACAATTTCTTCAGGTTAAATATTGAAGATTTTCTCTGTTGTGAGATGAAAATTTGGTGTTGGACCAACCTTGTGTCTCTCCTGGTGTCAGCTCAATGAAACTTCGACACTTTTCTTCCTGATCTGCACCTAAAAACAAGGGTTAAGAAGCTTGTTATATTGTCTTTAAATCTATAATGTTTACAGGGGTCTACCTGTTTTATACAAACTAGGTTTGGGGAGAATAATCCTTTGTAAGCACTGAGAGGCACACACATACTTAAAGGTCAAATTTAAAGCTACAATCAGCTTTGAACCACAATCAGTCATAGTTGCAATCACTCCATCAAAGGGTATAAGACAGTGATTGCTTTCTGTGTACAGGATACCCAACATCACTCTGTATATGCTTTTATATGTGTGTGTTCATAACTATGTAGCCCATATGGCACTTAACAACAATAACAATGTTTTCTTTGGTCTCTATTATCATTTAGCTCGTGAAAAGAAGAAACCCTCTCAAGCTTCTTTTGCCATTAAGAGAGGATGGTTGCACTTTATTGTGTGACTCACATGTGTTAACTCAATACTACCAACAGTTTTTCCATCAGTTTTTTGCGTAGCAACAATAATCCAGGCTTAGAAAGCGGCTTAAATGAGGTGCACTATATTAAATGATAGATTTGGACTCTGAAAATCCACAATCCTGATGCAGTGAACAAAATGTATTCAAATCTTCCTCTGAAGCAAATACGGGATTTCATTGGGCTGAGTCAGCGAAATCACATGGGTATTTTCCAAGTTTGCTGTTTGTGTTTTATTCGTTGGACAGCATGTCCCTGTTGAGCTCCAGTGAAAGGACATTAAAAAAGAGGGAATAATAATTTATACTTAAAGAGGCTGGCATCTCCACTTGATTTGTAAAGCTTGGATAAAACCTCACATGAAGATTAAAACATATGAATGTGTTTGTGCGTATAAAATCTTTAGACTTGTCCCCTCATGTTGAGATGTGTCCTTATAGAAAGCACATCTCCAACTTGTCCTCATCAACCAGATTGCCAGTGACTGTTAAAACAAATAATATAGGTTCTTGCAAAAAAATTCAAATTTGCACAAATCTGTGAAGCAGTTAAAACATAGACAGAGGAAGAGGTGAGGTTCATTCTGTGGGACATCTGGACTGATGCAAGTTTCACAAGATTTAAGAGTTTAAGAGTCTGCCAGGCTTTAAGTTACATACCTGAGCACTGCCATTTCACACCGTCAGTGCTGCAAGATGGCCTCATGACCAATAAGGTTACAGCTGTGCATGTGATAATAAATGGTTCAATAATATTATTTGCCAGGTATTTGTGCATAAAAATACTCTGCACTTATTAATTGTTCTTACAGTGAAGGCAGGAATAATCTAATGGCATAATAACTGCATTATTAGCTCTACTGACTGTTTACTAGCTTTTAATGCTCCTTTGACTGTGGCTTGTCCTTGAAAGAGGACAGACAAATGACTTGTCAAGGAAGTATTTGCAGATCACACCAAACTTTCACCCGAGACACTCAGATTTTATGCTTTTTGGATTTATTTTACTTATCTTTCCTCTTAGTTTCTTATTTATTTTGAATAATTTTAATATGAAAATGCGTTCCAGCCACTTTCTAGTTTCAATTTCACTTGCAAGTAAAAAATGCTGTAAACTTTAGTCACAGGGCTTCATGCAGGCTCTGTTTATTCACAGTTATGTTTACTGCAGTCTGAAGAGGCTATTTTAATTAATGCACATGAACAGGGTTAAAATTATATTTGAAAATCTGCTGCTGCCCATTTTTAAGTGATGTTTGATGCATTTTAATGTATGTATTAACTTATTCCTCTATCTCAACATGCCTTTAGTTTTTGGGTCATTATGGTAATTAAAATGTTGTAATTAAACTTGTTTTAAAAGGTAATTTATTTCCACCTCATTTACTTTTACCTTTGACATGAGAGTGTCATCTTGAGATTATGAAAGAAATCAGTTGAATGTTGCACAGAGAGTTTTTTATGGAGGTTATTCAGGCACAAAAATCCCCCAGTTATTCGATCCCTGATCAAAGTCTGTTCCACTCACCAACCTTCATTGTGCTTCTCGCAGGACAGCCAGAAGCCAGTGTGGAAGTATCTCAGCATGTACTTGTCCTCCCCTGTCTCCCAGATGTAGTGGACAGCGTTGGCCAGCTGCTTTTTCCTTATCCTTTCCAGCTCCTCCTTCTGCTGAGGAGACAGCGTGACATTGGAGGCTGGGTTCCTGGGGTCTGGGGTGGGCACCTCTGGATGAAGAGGACAGGAGTTTTAGGGGGACAGAAACGGTATAAAAACATACCTTTTTGCTTGAAATGAGCAAACTTAATTAACAGAATCATTTGTGTTCTTGTTTTTTTCCAAGGAGCTTTTGCTCTAATAAGACTAGAGCTGCGGAAATATGAGAAAAGTATGCCAGCAAACAGTGCTGTAAATCCTGAAGTAGGTCTCCTTTGGGTCACAGTGTGTAACACAATCCAGCCCTGAAACCTTGTTCTCCGTGTTATCAGCCCTTGTTTTATGTAATAAAAATTAAATACTACACAGAGATAAAATTGGTTTAAAGCTGAATGATGGTAAAGTGGGTTAGCAAATCCAGACAACATGCAGCTGCTGCCATAAAGTGCTGAGATAAGCAACAAAGCCGGGATTATGTGAATCTCTGGCAATAAAGTCTAAAAATACTTCAACCCAAGCAGCTGTGGAGATCCTGTAATAGTAAAACTACTAATGCCATACTGTAATAAGCAAACAGGAAAATAGTAAAAGTGACAGGGAAGCCTGGACGATGCCACACCCCACAACAACATCACAGATGCACTTTGAAAAGATCATTTTTGATGACTTGGTGTGCGACAACACTGTGGTGCACTGAGAATTCCTGCGCTCAGACTTTCTGCACAAACTGCACGTGCAGCCGAGAGAAATCCAGCTGGCAGAAGGCAAAAGAGAACTCAGAGAAAAAGAGATAATTCATGTTTAAACTGACCTTAGGGTGAAAGCACTTTCTTAGAAGCTGGTTTTCATTCAATTAGGCATGTATCAAATGCTCCAACTGTCTGCTAGCTGTGAGTAAGTAGTGAATACAGCTTAGATTTGTTATATGCTCTTCTGAGTTGTCTTTAAACATCCATCAAAGCCAGTTAAGATGAGCAAGAAAACAGACGTTTTGAGGACTCTGCGCTTTGGCCCACGTGTGACCCAGAACTCATGAGATGGGGTTTGCATAGGTTATGGAGAAGGTCTGGTCATGACAACCTAAATTTCTACCCACATAAGGTGGTGGACCCAGTGTCAGGTTTGGCACACGGCACAGTAAGGAAGCTGGGAATACTGGAAAGGGGAGCACCCATTTCTAATGGGAGCACAGCAGACACCGTCAAATACTCAAATAGTTGTTTTCTTCTGAGTGAAGTGACCTGGAAACAGCAGTGTGGCAGGCACATAATAAGAGCTCTTTAAATTCTCTATGGAAAGGAGCTCGAATCCTTTATTATCTCCCTTAGCTCTGGCTCATCCTCCAAGAAACCAAAGGAGACAATGCTGTCCCATAATTCATAGTGACACTACATCAAACAATGAGCAAAACAGATGACGCAGATTATGTAAATGTTAAAAGTGAGTTTAACCTTGTTTATGCAAAACTATAAACATTAGGTTGCTATGATAAATATCTGCATCTTAGCAAGTCGTTGCCTTCTGTAACGAACGTCGTGTGTGAATTTATGAGTTTGTATCAGTTGTCTTCTCAGTTTGTTGCTGTTCTGTTTTTAGGGTTATCATAAATCATTTTAATTTGGTCACAAATATAGAAATCCCTAATAGTAAAGGCCAGAGTTACACTGAATCATCTGTCCAACTGAAAAATAGAATATCAGTGGATGACAGCTTTTTATTGATTGTTTGGTTTTATATGACTGGCAGTAAAAGAACAAAGCACGAAGTATATACAGCAGCATATAGTTTCACCTCTTCAGACTAATGTCAGCAACATCCATCACATGATAAATAAGTTTAGTGTATGTGCAGTCAGAGCCTGAAGATTTCCATCAAGATCAAAATTACAGAAATATTTTATTTTGGTTGATTTGTGGGCTATTTGATCACAGCTAATCCCAAAGTACAGAGAACTACAAAAAAGGAAGTAAAACTACCAACAGTGCAAATAAAGCAAAAAATCTCAAAATGATGCATGAAATAAGAACAAAGTCCCTCAGCTACCCTAAAATTCATTTTTTAAAGAAAACTATGCAGACAGTTGTGTCATTACTTCCATTTTGAGATGATTAAACTGCATCTGCTGTTACCATCAGTGATTCAGCTGTTGCCAAATTAACCAGGATCCTTGAAATCGTTGAAATGTCCAGAATAAGCACTGTGTGGCCCGTATGTCTTACCTGTGGTGTACGGCTGGCTGTTGTTCTGCCCGCAGTTTTTCATCTTGACTGGCGACAGGCAGACCGGCTTCACCACCTTGTGTGTCCCTTCGCACCAATAAGAGGTGCAGAAAGCCCAGACGGACAGCGTGAGGGCCAGAGAGGTGAGGAACAGTGACAGCAGGGAGCGGTTACGTCTGGACATTTTCTCCAGCATGACTGTGTCTCAACTCAAAAGCAGCCAAATGAGAAATGAAATGGTTTTGGCAAGTGTGTGTCAAAAATAGCTGCAAGAGCCAGACAGGTTCTGGTGACCTGTCTAGAGCAGAAGATTGGGGAGCTTTCTGCAATAATACAATAGAGATTGAAAATAAAGTGGTAGGAAAGAGACAGAAGTGAGGAGAGGGGATTAGTGGTATTTGAGAAGTGGAACGAAGGACGGAGGGGAAGATAAAAAGTAGTCTGTTGGAGAGATAGAAGTAGGGCAGCGCTGGAGAAGGAGAGCTAGCGCTGAGCAAAGGTCAAATAACAGTGGAATAAAGAAAGATGAAGCTATGGGATTTAATCTTTTCCAGCAACAAGAGACAGATGTGCGGGCCAGAGGATGCAGGGGGAGCTCTAACTCTCCTCCTGCTGCAGTGTCACTTAAAGGAAATAAGCATGATGAAGAGAAGCAGGCCAGGTTTAAATTTGGGACCTTTGTTTCCTTTTGGAGACTTTGGTCACAAATTTAGCCCATGTTTCTACTGCAGTCACCGCTCGGGTCTCATATTAATATCTTCTCCCCTCTCAGATAAAGACAAACATCTAAATCTTATCCTGTGGATTTTGAGACTAATCGGTTCCACTCTCAGGGCACATCCCGTTCTTCAACCTGTTCCTCCACCTCAGTGAGAGGGATTGAACTCATGAAGAAGTGATTAGTCCAGCGTCTCAGGCCTACCTCGTGGCCTGGTAATCTGTGGTAATCTTGCGGGGTTAGGTGGATGAGTTTAATGCTTACTGACACTCATGCTGTCATTGTCTGAACGACCACCTAAGAGAGGGAAAAACAGATGATGGAGGCAAAGATCTGGGATTAGGAGTCATGAAGACAGAGTCACGTCTATGTCCAAGTAATTTGAGCTGCACTTAATCCTGCCAGGTGCCACATTTGTAAATTGGTTATATTTAATACAATGTATTAGACTCAAATCATTAAACTACAATCTGATGTAGCAATATAATTCTGGGATAGGGTCCACCCCCCTGTGATAATATAATATAATATAATATAATATAATATAATATAATATAATATAATATAAT